GAAGGACCAGGAGATCGAGTACACTAGGTTGTGTGTTGGTCAAGTCCACCACAAGAATGATAAAGATATTCGTCATGATTTACTAAAGTTTAGTAAATATGATTAAACTTATAAGAATGAGTATAATTCTGAGTTGATCGAAAGAGTTTCAATCAATAGAAGAACGAATAAGAAGAATCAAGTAGGCAGAAAGATAAAAGTTTCTCTATTCTAAGAAGAAGGGAGAGTACCTTTTATTGTGTTTTATGATAGGTCTTAATGATTAAGAACCATGTCTCAATCGATCCTCTAAGTGAGTCTTAGTGCAATTGCATGTCTAAGAAGAGGAATCGAGATCCTGTAGAAATGGTTAAAATCAAGAAGTCAATCATACTTCATTCCAATATCAAGTCTTAAGAGTCATACTCCAAGATTATGACTTGAGTAACAAGTCTAAAGTAGCTTTATAACACTCGTCAAATGTGGAATTTGGAAAAGTTTTCTTATTCTTGCACATTTGAAATTGGTAAGTTGTGATGTCTTGGATAAGGCAAACACCAACCAGGACCAATTGTGTGAAGTGTTAAACTTGACAAAAAGGCTACACTAACTCTTGAATATTTGTTTGTCAAGAAATGTTTCTTGACAAGAGAATCTTATATGTCAAGGAGTCAGTGGGAGTCTCAATGGTCTTGAAAAGTTTCAAGAACAAATCAAGAGTAAACCTAGTTAATCATCACTAGCGCACGGCTTGAGGTTTCTGTGCCATTGCAATTAAGCTAAATATGTATGTGAGTTCTATGAGTTCTCATTTGAATGCATAAAGACAAAGCACCTTGATCAATGGAAAGTACATTGATATGTAGGGGTGAGTTGCTTGGAAGACATGGTGGGCACTCGTGTTACCATGAGGCAAGAAATCAAGATTGAACAAGTTCAGTCCATATGGTTTTGGATTTGTCGCAAACCTTCGTTTTGACAAATTCACATGGATAGGAACACATACATCATAAAATCTAAGTGTCATAAGGTTTCCCTCCTTCATGAAAATGATTGTGAGGAAATGCTTTCACTAAGAGAGATTTTAAGAAGATAGCAATTATGAAAAAATTGTATTCTCAAATTCGATTATGATTACGGCATCCCTTTTCATAGCTCGAATTGTGAGATTTGGCAATTAGTCTGAACATTTGGGACTTAGTTCTGAATTTGTCTAGACACACATATGAGCTTTCTAAGGCAAAGGTGTATGAGTTTAAGAAGCTTAGATAAAGGCTTATCAAAGCATCAAGTATTTAGAAATATGAACTTAAGGATTTCAATAAGCATTGTTTTCTGGAAGTTCAGATGTTTTCTAGATATATGTCAAAGCTAGTGGGAGCATAAGTGTTATGCTTGTATTGTAATAATCATCGTGTTAATGGGAGCATGATTATTATTTTAAGTATTGCGAGTTAGGAATATTAATTATAGAAAACAAAGATTAACTTTGCAAAGCTGTAGGGGTTAAAAAGTTCTTTTGCTATAATTAAGGGAGAGAATATTATACTTCGTTTCAATATCTAAAGCTTAGATTGAAAAATTTTAATAAATTTATTCAAAGGATACATAGTGTGTTCTCAAATTTCGATTATGATTACGGCATCCCTCTTCATAGTTCGAATTGTGAGAACGTGACACATAAAATATTATGACAGAAGATTGATAAAGTATCATATCTTTATGTAAGACATTATGCATCGTGTCCTATACGCTTAGGGTATAGGATCGATTGCAAATGCTATAATATTTGACCATTCTAAAATTTTCCAAATGCTAGAATCGGTTTTGACTAAAATAATTAAACAACTATCAAAGGACGATATGAGGTTTACTGAGGATTTGTCACTTGTGAGTAGTTGGAAGTATAGTAATAGATGGACTATATTGACAATATAATGAATAGATAAGATTCTATTAAGAATGAGTTGTCATATGGCAAATATGGAAATGTTTCCATTAATGGGAGTTGGATATTAAGAAATATGTCTAGATTAGAAACTTTTATGCGAGAAGGATGTTGAAAGGAATGTACTTTGAGTGAGTGACATCACATCTATATAATTGTTTTGTAACAATTTCTGATAGAGTACCTTGTGATTTCATTGGCCGAGTCTTTGTGACTTTTATGTTGTGACTTCACGAAAGGATCGTTGCATAAAATGTTAGAATCTGACATATTCTAAAAGTGGCAAGAATTTTGTATTCTTACGCTAATGATAAGGATTGGGAATTGTGAAATGAGTTTCATTGGAAATGTTTTTCAATTGATATATTTCACAAAGTAAGGATCATAGGAAATCAAAGTGTGCATGCTTGGAGCATGGGACAATTATGGTTATAATTCGAGTAATAAGTTGATTTTCTGAAACAGTAAGCAATGAATAATGAGTAATCAATATGGTGTTTTATTTACGCTCAAAAGTTTTGGGGCCATATAGGATTAATATTATTATTGCGTTTCACTTTGCATGTTTTGACTTCCAGAATAACTGGGTTATTTGAACCTCCACAGTCGGTCATACGTTGGAAGTAAGTATGAAGGAAGACTATCGTGAATCTGTCTGTAGATTGCCTAAGTGTTTAGACATAGCACAAGTTTGCTGCATAGTTCATGAGTGCTTTAATAAGATTAGAGTATTGGATCAAACCCACGCTCACTTGAATCACTTCATGCTTTTTATCATGAGTAATTGTGAGACGATAACATTGTATATTCTTGAAACCGAGACGTGTGAGTTGTTATTTGTTGGTCGGTTGCGCATTGATAATAAGAAAACTCACCAGTAACTTGGTGTTATAAAACTTATTGTTGTGTGTGATTTGATCAGTAAATGCAAGCGAGCATTTGAGTCGAAGTTTATCCATTCCTTTTGCCCAAAGTGGGATAAAAGCGATATCTGTGGGCCTCTCGATGATTTAGTGATGACACCCTAAGCGCTTGGCCAAGACGGGACTAAGTTGATGTGTTCAATTGTAGTCTGTTGTCAGTCGTCATAAATCGGAAGTCGGGAAACAGTATAGAGAGAATGATCGAAATTCATGTCTCGTGTCTATACGATATCTTGAGAATGGAGGAATATATAATCCCTTATCTAAAGGACACGCATATCTGATAAGATCAGAGTTGACAACGGCTTTTGAAAGCTACGATTGCTGATCAGGTTCTGAAGTTATGCAAAATAGTTATTAGACTTATCCAAGTGGGAGATTGTTGGATTAGTGTCTAAGTCCATAACTATTTTGGTATGTACTTGACCCGATTGTGAGCATGGTCCTTTTGGGTTGCCTTCACCATAGCAATATGTAGGATGAATTAAGAAGAGAAAGGTTTAATTATGATTTATTAATATATTATGAGAATAATATATTAAAGGAAAAATCATATTGTTTAATTAATATTAGTCAAGAATTAATTAAGAATTAATTTTTGTGGCTAAAAGAGATTAATTAAACATAGGGGACTGGAATTGTAATTATAGGATAATTGCAATTGGGCTATGGATCACCTTGGAATAATAGGTTGGACGAATTCTATGGGAAGCCCATTAGAAATCGTCCAAGGCATGTTCCAGAAGGGGTCCATGGGCTGCTTAGGGCTTAAGCAGTCAAATTAGGGTTTTCCTTGTTAGATAACCCTAATTGCCTACCTATTTAAAAGAACCCTTGAGACCCAAAAACGTGGCTAAGTCTTCCTTTAGGGTTTCCAGCTGTTTTTGGTGTCTCCTCTCTCCTCCCTCTTCATCCAAATTGCTTAGTGGTGTTTGTGACTACATTAGAGGTGCAACACTTGAGGCACTAAGCTTTCTGAAGCCAAGGAACTGATTGTTATTGCTACATAGCAATCAAGGTAAGATCCAAACCCTAGTTTACATGTTTATTTGATTAATTGTATGCTAGATTTAGGGTTTATAAGTCTTGGAGGTTTATTGCATGTTCAAAGTAGAAAAACTAGATCCAAGCAATTAGGGTTGCATGAACACCATAGGAATGTTGTTATGCTCAAAACCCATCAGTTTTAGCATTTGGGTAGTGTTAGTATTTGTGTTTAGTTTGCGAGTACGCACGGGATAGCTGGTTTGTTGGGAAGTGACAAGTCACTCATAGCGGGATTAGTCGAGCCTAGGCCAAGTATAAGTGATATGCAAGGATAATTGGGTCTGTGACCCTATTTTATAGTGGGAACCGTGAGTGGTCAGAAGTTGAATAGTCAGTTGTGGGATGAACGGACTGGATTCAACGATAATGATTCAGTATGAGTGGTCTGTCAGCGAATCAGACTATCTCAAGACAGTAGATTTTAGACAAAGTATATGTGAACTTGTTGTGAGGAATTCGTTCACCTGCGGATTTTAGGGCTTTTCGAATACTGGTAACGACTACCCTGGGAAGGCTAAGGTGTGCCCAGGATGGTGACCATGTTACTTAAGTGGTTTGGTGCATAAGAAATGGAAAGGAATGACTTTGAGGACGAAATCTAATTTAAATGGGGGAGAGTTGTAACAACCCGTTTATTTATTAGATAAATAAATAAATTAATGAATGAATAGTAGCCCTAAAATAAATAATTATATATCAAAGAATGGTCTCGAAGGGCTAATTGTCATAATTTTAGAAGTTGGGGGTTAAAAGTGTGAGTTTCGGACTCAGTTTGTAAATATTTATGAAGACAGGGGCTCTGTGGTAATTATTTGGATTTAATTTGAAAGGAAAGAGGTGGAAGGGCTGAATATGTCATAATTAAGATATTGGGGCTAAAGGGGTAACATAGGGAGCTGAATTGTAAAGATTTTAGAAGATGGGGGGGCTGTTCGGTAATTTACGGGACTTAGTTTGTAAGGGATTTCAGAAGACGGGGTTGAATTAGTAAATTAAGGACTAAATTTGAAAGAAAATGAAGAAGGAGGGGCCATATCCGTCATTATGGGCTGAAGTTGTATCTAATGGGTATATAAACCCGCCACCTCCTAACCCTAACCCTAATGTTGGAAAGCAGTCGTCACCACCTCTCATGTGCATCTCAACCGCCATGTGTGAGCATTCCCAGCCGTCGTCGCCACTTGTTTGCGTTTCTCCGACCGCTCACGTCCCCAAACAAGCACCGTTACCAGCCGATTCTCCTGCCATCATGGTGGAATGCTGTTCATCTCCTCCGATACTTCGTTGTCGACGATAGTGAGGGCCTAGCAGACGTTCTTCAGGCCGCTGATATCGCTGGAAGTCTCAGCCTCATCCCCAATCATTGGTGCTACGTTTCAGTCCACGATTCCATTGTCGTAGTTGTTCATAAGGTCGTCCTTTCGTCGTCGCTTTCTCCGACTGTATGGTACTGCCACCCAAGTGACCGAGGTGGGTGCGTGACTTGCGACTGGGATTGGAATCGTGTGCTTTCTACTCGCGTGGGTTGAAGTTGTTTGATTAGGAAGCAAAAAGGGAACACCGTCACCACCGTGAGGTGGTGGCTGCCATCGAGACTCAGCAGTTTCCGCCGCCATGAGCCACCAGGTGGGTGGCCGGACCTCTTGAGCAGATTAGAACCGTGTGTGTGTAATTGTAAATGGTATTTGATGGCCGGAAAACAGAAAAGATACCCACCATGGCCGCCAGCCATGGTGGCTGCCGCCATGCGCCACCGCCCGCCACCACAAGGTGGCTGTGTGTGTTTGTTCATTTTTAGTGTGTGTGTATATTATTTGAGATGTTGCATTGTATGATGTAAAAAAAAGAATAATGGAAATGAAACTCAAAACCACCACCGTAGGGTGGTGGCTGCCACCACCGGCCGCCGTGTCGGGTGGCGGTGTGCTTGTCTTGTTGAGTTTGATTCGTTTAGAATGCTTGAAACCCTAATGGGCCCAATGAAGCCCTAATGGGCCCAGTGAAACCCTAATGGGTCTATTGGACCCTAGTTGGCCTAAAAAGCCCAAACATGTGACTAATGGGTTTAACGAGCTTTAATGTATCTAAGGACTTAGCTATTGGGCCTATTGGGCTAAGATGGGTTTGAAACCCTAATTAGGGTTTGGAAAACCCTAATGCCATGAAACCCTAATTTGGGATTTACCGGGACCGCATCGGTATTATTTAATGAATCTAATATATTAATTAATAATCATTTGCAATCAAGCTAAGTTAATATTGGACTTAATGGATTAAGTCCTTAATGGGTTAAGGCAGAGACACTTAACCCTAATCGTCATTTTATGTGAAACCCTAATTTCACTTGGGTTTGTTGTTGGGCCTTTCTATTTGACCTTGATGATTGGGTTATTAATGGGCCATCCAATATCAAGCAATGGGACTAGAATAATTAATGGGCTTTGAGGTAAGGCCCATGTGAGGAGTTGGGCCCAATTTGGAAAATTGGGCCATAGATGGGCCATAGTTTGGGCCTTAATGATTATATGATATTGGGCCATTAGAAGGTCAAATGTTGGATTGGACTTTTGGTTGGGCCTTAGAATAAGACCATGTAAAGGTTTGGGCCCAATTTGGAAAATTGGGCCATGTGTTGGGCCTTGAGACATAGTTGGACTGTTGGGCCTTTGGATTGGGCCTTGGGCTTGAATAGAGCCAACCTTGGGGTAATGTAGTAATTATCCAAGTATATGTTGGGACCCAATTATTAATTGGGTGTTATTTTGGTGTTGAGAGTTCGGGAATCTGTCATCCAGCAGCTGGGGTTGAGTCTGCGGGACTTCAGCAGTGTGGGGTTGAGTCTGCGGGACTTCAGCAGTGTGAGGTGAGTTACCTTCCAGTAGGGGTGGGTCTAAGGCCACAATGCCGGCCCACCAACAGGAGTAATTGGTAGATAATTGTCTTTGTGATAATTATCTTGGTATGCTTATGTGATATGCTTATGAGATATGCTTATGTGATATGCTTATGAGATACACTTAGGTGATATGCTATGTGTGTTAGTGGTAGTAACAGGGAATAGTTTTTCCCTGACTCGGTCGTTAGGACCGAAGGGTAGGTCAGTACCCCAGATATGCCTGACTATATGATTATGTTTTGTTATTGTATGATAGAGGTAGGGGTGAAATAGTCCTCGTTGCCGGTTGAGATAGACCGGAGGGTAGTCGGCACCCCAGAACGGCCTGACATGGGTAGGTCAGCACCCCAGAATGGCCTGACATGGGTAGGTCAGCACCCTAGAATGGCTTGACATGGGTAGGTCGGGTACCCGAGAATTGCCTGGTAGTACGTATGTTGTTTGGTATGTGGTATGATGGGGGAACTCACTAAGCTGTGTGCTTACGGTTTTAGTTTTGGTTTCAGGTACCTCGTTTTCAAAGGGAAGGAGTCGGCTTGATCGTAGTGTATCACACCATGTTTTCCGCACACGAGATCCTTGGGATTACACTCTGATATGGTTTTATGATTCTATATTTTGATTATTGACACTCTGGTTTTGATATGAGATATTATTATGAACATTTTTATACTGATGGTTTTATGTAATAACTTAATTAAAAACGAAATTTTTGGCCTGTATTTTTGGGATGTTACAAAAATGGTGCAGTCAGATTGAGTTTTACATTTAAAGGTGTGCAATTTATTCTTTGGTGTATCAACCAAAATTTGAGGTCAATCAAATGCTTTTTGAGGTTGAGAATTGTTGGTAGTCAGCTCAAGTGGTCTATCTAGAAAGCTTGAGACAGCTCTAGTGAGCTTGAGACAACTCTAGTGAGCTTGAGTCAGCCCAATCCAGTAACTTATGTTTCTAGCCCAACTGTTTTGGCCCGAAGTTAAAAGGCCCATGTACTCTTGTTATGTAATATTCAGTGAAGAGATGTAGGATTAGAGTATGATAAGAACATCACGTATTGTAGAGGGAAAATTGAGGTCAATTGTTTGACCTAATACAAAAGCTCTCTCTTCTGGTGTGGATGTAGGCAAGATTTTTGAACCACGTAAATCTGTTTCTTTCTCTATTTACTTTCATTTTCTTGGTTGTTGTCATTGTTTGATTTTGGGTCCAAGGGCAAAAACCGGAATCTCAAACAACACAAGGTTAGTTGCTATTTTTTTTTGATTTCTACATTGTTTCTACTGGAAACAAAAAGAGCAAACTATTGAGGGATCCAAGGGGGTGTCAGGGGTAAAATCGACCAATCCAAAAAAACAAAAGAGGAGACACCACCAGATGATAACTAAAACAACAGTCAATAAGGGTAGAATTGTCCACTCCAACCAATTTTAACACCCATAAAACCAACACACCACTTTTCCCAATAAGAGTCAGGGGTATAAACGTCCAAGCCAAACATTTAATGAACAACTCACCAAAGAAAGCCTCAACCATATAAAAATTTGTTATTTATGTGATTTTAACATGGAAAATAACATATAAAGGGTGAAAATAGTGTTTTAGAACTGCAACATCCATATTCCATGTATAAGTATTTTGTCATTTGAAGTTGTGATCTGGGATTTTCTTCACACAATTACACGATAAGGCCTGGACCATGGCGTAAGACATGCCATTAAGTGGCGTCGCAGTCAGGTCCTCACCACGATGCGGTTGCGGTTGAGGTTCGAAACCCTATATCTGCGGTTTTGGGCCCTATTTAAGGGCTATAAATTCTAGGATTGCCTCATTTAGTAGCCCCCATTTCAAGAGAAACTCTCCTTCACAAACCCTAGCCTCCATATGTGTTTATTGAGTGTTTTAGCTTCAGTTTGTGAACAGTGAAGGAACTAGGATCCCCTCTTGTTGTTTGAATGTTTTGTTCCGGTGTAGATCCATTATCTTCGCCTCATTTATGGTCATTTGAAGGTATAAAGCATATAAATTGACCATTATTTCTTTAGAACATGTTTATGTCACTTTTATGAGCTTATGGTCCTAAAACCTTATGTTCTTGGAGTTTGATTGAACTCCATAACCTCTTGGTGCATTTTATAACTTTTGGACCTTTGTGGATCGAAGAAAAAGTGCTTTGCATGGTCTATCCTTGAGTTCATGCATTTAGATTTACCATTTTGGACTTAAGGGCTGAGATCTTGGCTTATTTTAGTGTCCTAATGGATAACGTTGGAAAGTTTATCCATTAAGACCTTTAGAAGAATTAGATCTGAGATTTTAATCTATGGAAGTTAAGGGTTAAGTGATAAATCCATTAAGTTGTTTTGGACGCTCGCCATAGCACGGTGGGTGGGAGGTCGCGGCACGGTGGTGAGGTTTGGCCGTATCTTTTTGTCGTCTAGTTACCACGACACGACTATGGGTTGGCCACAACGCGGTGGGTCAACCGTTGACTTTTGACCATATGACTTTTTAGTTAAACCTAAGTATCAATTATAAAGTTGAGCTTTGATAGGTTAGGAGGTTCGTGTAGCAGTGTTGGTAAGTCACTGAGTGTCGATCTCTCAGCTTGTGTTTCAGATGAGTTTTCTCACTGTATTACTTAGGTCATAGTTGTTATGCCATGATTGTATGCTTAATTAGACTAGTAGAGTCTTTCATGTTTCTTGTGTTTTTGCATGTGTTGAAAGTCGTTATGGACTCGGGGTTGTTACAGACCAGTTGTGTTGATACACACCCGAGGTTGATGCGAACTCGTTGGGTTGTTACAAACTCGGGTTTGATACGGACCCGTTGGGTTGGTGTGGACTCGTTACTGGTGTGTATAGTTATAACGTGTTGTGTGTGATACTTTGGTGAACTCGCTAAGCTTTGACTTACATTTGTGAAGTAAATGTTTCAGGTACTTAAAAAGATCATGGGAAGGCTAAGGCGTGATTATACACACTCTCCGACAGCTTTCATGTTTTTGAGATTTCGTGTTTTTTATGAAACTCTGGTTTTAACGATGTTTTGGACACATGTGTTCATGGTTTGTTTAATGAAAGGAGTATTTTATCTTGTTTAAAAATTGAAAATTTTAATAAGAAAAATGGGAAGTTACAAGAACACAAATGAAACTTACATCCATATAGGATTAAAACGACGTCGTTCAGAACAACTTAGCAAGCACATATGGCCTTTTAACATGGGAATTGGGCTATTCTGAGTAGGAATGGTATTTTAAAGAAGCAAACAACAGTTTATTACCTTCTAATGGAGTTTTTTTAGTTGGACGGTGTCTTTTAAACATTTTTTAAAGTTTGTTACCCTTTTATGACATTAACAAAAAAATATTATTATTTAAAACAATAAGCACTTTGTTATGCATAAAATGAGGAAGAAAGCTGGTTGAACAACATCAAAGGCAACATCTGTGGCTAGTCTTATTTAATTGTAAAATTGATAAGCGATAAACTTGTTATACTTTTGAACTCACTTGAATTGTTTTCCTTTTTTCCTTTTCCCCAATTTAATTTATCTTTCTACTATCGATTCAACAATAATTGGCGATGATATTCTTTATCAAGTTGTGAGCTATTATGTAGGCATCATCAC